CTCAATGGAGCATGGCAGCAGAGAGCACTCTAGAGGCTAATATGCAGTTCCACCATAGAAACCAATTCATTAAAGAGATATGTACGTTTTAGTAGCTGTCCACTCCAGTGACCACTATGCATCAGAGGGTTAAAGGATGTGGGGGCAAGTCCATGCAGAACATTATATGTCAGACAGGCGTACATATTGTCATCACCTCGAGCACAGTAGATTGTTCAAATTGATGGCATGGGTATATCTCCTAAAAATCTTGGATCAGTTTATTCTGTGTGACCCTGTGTTTTTGTTGGTGTATCACACACACTGCTGCGAAAAGCAATTTTCCTCCTTCATGATTTCTCCTCTTTTGCTTTTTTTGTGCATATTTGTGACACTTTAATGCTTCAGATCATCGATTTTAGGCCCATATTTTAAAGATTTTATAGTTTAAAGTGTGGCTTCCAATTTAGTCCTCAGAAACATTCATGAAATTAGTTAAGATTTAAAACTGTCGAAACAGAGACAATTCTCTGGTTGCATTTCTTTCCACTGCCACTATAAAAGGATTGACTTCCTTTCTCATTCAGATCATCTTCCCAAATGTTAAACTGTGAGTCCTTGCTAATACTTTTTAGGCTAATGTAGGAGTGCTTAAAATTATGAGCGCTTAACCTCAAGAATGTATCATCTGTGTCAATATTACTTTTTAATCACCAGATGGAGACAGTGTGTGTGTTTCTGTGGATGATGGTAGGGTTGGTGCAAATTTGCTTATAATGAATCAATATGTATCCGAGAGTCACTAGATTACTGAGCAGTTTTATTTTTATTTTAAAAAACTGATTTTTTTAATGATGTGGTGAGCTCCAGTCTTTAGAGCTGCTCGTGTCAAAGCCCCGTGGATGAATTTTTAAAAAAAATTCAAAACGAAAGAGGAAGTGTTTTGGGAGGATAAACCAAATGTGAAGTGTTTTTTGTACACTGTAGTTTTTTGTTGACTTTACTGTCTTCTGGTTCCCATAAATGACACGATCAGCCTCTTTTTTTCAGTCATGGGGTGCAGACAGCAGAGAGTGCTTCAGTTTTTGACCTTCGGTAAGACATACTTTTGTAATGCTTTTGTAGAGAGACAGTTTGGGTCTTTGAGGTTTACCTTTCAGTGCAAATATTGATCACTTTAGATAAATGACTACAGATGTATGTGCTTAGTTTACACAATAAGCAATGTCATTTTGTTCCTTCCAAAAGTTTCTTGCCTCTTGGCCTTCACTTCATCTGCTGCAGGTCAGTTTGCTCTTGTGTGTGAAATTTTTTAATTCTTTTCAAATGTAGGAAAGTATTAAATATAGTTTATATTATGTGCTGATAGGACAGATCAGACTAGCTGGGTCTGGATCCACTCAGTGCTCTGGAAGAGTTGAAATCTATCACAGTGGCTCCTGGGGAACAGTCTGTGATGATACCTGGGACTTGAATGATGCTAAGGTGGTCTGTAGACAGCGGGGCTGTGGGATAGCAGAGAGTGCCACTTCATCTGCTCAATTCGGTCCAGGAAGTGGACAAATCTGGCTTGATAATGTGGCCTGTTCAGGAAGTGAGCATTATCTCACTGAGTGTCAGCACAATGGATTTGGGACACATGACTGTGGACATGGTGAGGATGCTGGTGTTGTTTGCTCAGGTGAGAAATACTTTAGGTAATTTATGCTGAATAAATGTAACTGTGTATTTTAATAGCTAGTCACGAAACTGATTGTCATCCTTTGCAACTTGCTTTTGTACTTAAAGAGTGAATGTGATTATTGCCATGACTAAGAAACCAAAAAAATAATAAGTGCAGGTGCTCTGTCTTTTCTTGGTAATATTTTGTCTGTGTTCTGTCGCTAGCACCTCAGATTAGGTTCGCTGGGTCTACTTCATGTTCAGGAAGAGTAGAATTCTACTACAACAGTGAGTGGGGAACGGTCTGTGATGATAACTGGAACTTAAGTGATGCTAAGGTGGTCTGTAGACAGCTGGGCTGTGGGGCAGCATTGGAGGCCACTTCATCTGCTCGCTTCGGTCAAGGAAGTGGAAAAATCTGGCTTGATAATGTGGCCTGTTCAGGAAGTGAGAGTTCTCTAACTGAGTGTGGACACAATGGATTTGGGAAACACGACTGTAGCCATGGTGAGGATGCTGGTGTCGTCTGTTCAGGTGAGAAGTGTTTGTTATACTCTTATCAAAACATAGATAAAAATGTGCTAAATTAATAAATAATACATTTTGAACTCTTTATTTATTAAGCACACTCATTAAGCGTTCTGAGTGGTGGAAGAAAGTAGATCATCAATCATTGTTTAAAATAACCAGCTGTTCCTCTTTTGGCAGCAATAACTTCAACTTCATGCCAGCCCCTTTCTAAGTTCTGATCTCTGTGTCAGATACAGTGGGGCAAAAAAGTATTTAGTCAGCCACCGATTGTGCAAGTTCCCCCACTTAAAATGATGACAGAGGTCAGTAATTTGCACC